GCATCTTCCCAAGCCAGGGATTGAAGCTGAGTCTCCTGAATTGCAAGCAGATTCTTTACCCACTAAGCCACCAGAGAATCTCCCAACTGAATGATAACACATGAAAGTTTGGCCCCTTGAAGGGCACTTTTCTTTATTAAGTGCCAGATGTAATAACAACATCGTACTATAACAGTGGGCATACTGAAAAGCTCATAAAATTTTAGACCTTGAAGGGATTTGAAAGTCAATCTTTTTTTTCTGTTTTGTTTTTTGGCTATGTTACATGGCTTGCAGTATCTTAATTCTCTAACCAGGGACTGAACCTGTGCCATGGTAGTGAATGCACCAAGTCCTAACCACTGCACAACCAGGGAATTCCCAAAAGCAAATCTCTATTTCAAAGACATTCCAACTAAGGCCAAGACTGGTTAAACAACTTGCTAAAGATTTATTTAAATCATTGAAGACATTCTAACTCTTAGTTTACAAATTTGCATGCAACATGCCTCCTTCTTTTATCCACGAGTATAAAGGTTCCACGAGCCTTTGAACTAAAAGGCTTCCCTGGTGACTCAGATGATAAAGAATCCACCTGCAATGTGGGAGACCTGGGTTCAATCCCTGGGTTGGGAAGATCCCCTGGAGGAAGGCATGGCAACCCACTCCAGTATTTTCGCCTGGAGAATCCCCATGGACAGAAAAGCCTGGTGGGCTACAGTTCATGGGGTCGCAAAGAGTTGGACATGACTGAGCGAATAAGCACATTTGAACTAAAACTTTACTAACAAGACAACTAGACCTAAGTATGGTTTTCTTTATTAATTTTTTTCCTTATTAATTTTTAAGAGCTCAGAGAGTGACACCTGTGATGTATTAAAAAGTATATATAGAGAAAAAAAGCCCAAGTTTATTCTAGATTAATGATTCTCAAATTTGAGTAAAGTATGAACCCCTTTTTAAAAAAAAAGAAGGGAGAAAAACTCTCAATGGCCACATTATTGACTTAAGTTTCTTTTTTAAAAAACTACATGATTATAGTTTTGTATCATATTTCAATTATATATTTGTATTATAGTTCAAATGCAAAACTTTATGTAAAATTCTTAGGATTAGAACATAGGTATAACTATGAAACCAAAACAAATGTGCAAGTTTGTTAAATAATATCTAACACATATACTAGTTAATGGATAATAGCCACTTTATATGTAGCAACTCATTTAACACCCACAAGAACTCTATAAGGTTGGAGACTATTACACTCATTTAATAGATGAGAAATCAAGATATAGCTGGTCAATGGGGACCTGGGTTTCACAATTAATTGAGTATGAAAAATGATATTGTTGGACAGAAATTAAATTGCTGCTTGCAAATTGACTGTGGTACTGACTGTACCTCTGTAGATCTTCTGGGTTTAACATACTTAAAATGAGCACTTGAAAAGATACAGGTACCCCAATGTTCATAGCAACATTATTTACAATTGCTAAGACATGGAAGCAACTTAAGTGTTCATCAATAGATGAATGGATAAAGAAGAAATGGCATATACACTGTATGTACACACACAGAAATACTACTCAGCCATAAAAAAAGAATGAAATTTTGCCATTCACAACAACATGATGGACTTGGAGGGCATTATGCTAAGTGAAATAAGTCAAAGAAAGAAAGACAAATTCTGTATGATATCACCTATATGTGGAATCTAAAACATACAAGAAACTAGTGAGTATAACAAAAAAGAAGCAGAGTCACAGATATAGAGAAAAAACTAGTGATTACCAGTGGGGAGAGGGGAGGAGAGGGGCAATATAGGGGTAGGGCTTAAGAGGTATGAAGTATTAGGTATAAAATAAGCTACAAGGATATATTGTACAACACAGGGAATATAGCCAATATTTTATAATAACTATAAATAGAATATAACTTTTAAAAATTATGAATCACTATATTGTATACCTGTAACTTATGTAAAATAAATTTTTAATTAAAATGAGTTGGAGAGTGACTAATTTCTCCCATCCCTTTTTTCTCTTCTGTCAGTTGTCAACTACATCTTGAAAAAGCACAAATTAATGTTATTTGGTCTTCACTTGAAGAGAATGTCTTTTTAGAAACTAAGTCCACAGATACATTCAAATCATTTGTCCATTTTATAATTGGATTATTGTCTTTTTATTGTTCCGCTCTAAGATCCCTCATTAGACTTTGACAGGGTGATATTGCTAGGCACCAATGCCATGACAAATGCAAAAAAACATGCATTCTGAAATTGCATACTTGTACTCGGTTACAAAGTGGTCATCTATGAGATCCAGAATCAAATCTGCTTTTACTGAAATTTTGTAGATAATTTAAAATATACATTTTAAATGTTTAATAAAATACTGATATCAGAAATATTCCTTCCACTTACTATAGCAAAGAGCAAATTTTTCAAAGAGGTTAAGGAAGTATTAATTGTAATAGCAAAAGAATAAAAAATGTATTTTTCTAAAGCTCAGAGTAAAGAAAACATTTCTATACTAATATTATGGACTATAACAATTAAAAATTATAAGCATCTGGACTATATTGATGTATGCAAAGTCATTCATGAAACAATGTTAGCCACAAAATATGTCTTAAACAGATATACACTCATATATTCTAATAGATTTATAAATGTGTCTACATCATTTGTCTTCAGACAAAATCTATGAAACATATTCTTATAAATCTACCAAAACTTATTAATGTACTTATAAATGTATATAATTTTATTTTCAATCTATTTCAAATGTACTATATATAAATTTATTAAAGTACATGATATGCATTGACAAAAAATGTAAGGTAATATTAACAGAATTTTATGTTTATTGGTTTCAGAGAGCAGTGTTTCACAAAAATGGTTCTATTTCATTAATATTCAGTCCTCAAAAAAGTTTGGGAATTTGTTGGGGAGAAGTAAACGAAATGTCTTTTAGGTAGAAATTTTCAGAGCCTTTAACCCGATAATTTGCATTGTGAATCTCTAAAATAAAGAAGTTCATCATATTATTTATCTGTTATTATCTGTTATTTTAGTCTGTTATTTTCATCATGATTTACATTTATTTTACTTGTGTAAACAAATTTTTGTAAATCTCATTTCTACTTGTTCACTAATTTATTGTCCCCAAACTATCAGTTCTAATGGGACAGGTAAGTATGTCTGTTCTTCACCATTCTCCAAATGCCTTAGCCAGGAACACAGCAGGAACTCAATAATCACTTTTGTAGTGAATGTATTACTTGGAAGAGCATTTTGAGGGACTAGAGCTTAAAATTACATACTTTGGAAATAACCACTCTAAAGTTATTCAATTGTATAATAACTTCAAAGAAAATACTGTGTGAACATCTTTAGGCCATTAGAAATCCATTTAATAACTTATTGCTGTGTACTTCAGTGGAATTCATTACTACTTCATGGAGCTAAAGGGATTTCTCAGAGAGCATGTCATGACCTGGAAAAATCTTGCAAAATCATTTTTATACTCTGCAACTCCAAATGACAACTGTAGTAAAAATGACAGTAACTGTGAAAGAAGAAGTTGAAAGAAATCATGTTTGCATCAATACCAACAATTCTGGGGAACACATCTGGTGACATGAGATTTTCCATCGAGAATGTCTTATTTTAATAGTTCAAGTAGACATGTCTTCTGGAAATTGCAAATTACTGACTCATTGGTTCTCTTTTAGGATAAGCGATTTCACATATAACTTGTTTTTTTGAATAGTTCAAATCCATGTTAAGACAGCTATTAAAAATACAGAAAATATATGTCCTGTTTGATACAATAACTTATAGTTTAGGATACTTAAAAATCCTTTGTTTTTAATAACCCTTGTAGAAGTTATATGATGCTATTGTATATTTTAAGAACATGGGAAAGCTAAACACTTGATCAACTACTAAGTTTCATGAATTTCCTCTACCTGCCCTATAGAAGTGTTAAAAATACGAATTTCATTATTTCAGAGTAGTGTTGAAACAAAATAATAAAAATTGATACAAAATTTAATTATTTTTTTCCCAGTTACCAACGTGGAAAGAATTTTACCAGTTGCCAGTGTCACCACATCATGACACATCATTAACGGGTAGCTCATGCCTAAACTTTTGAACTTAATATTTGGCTGTGGGGGAGGGGGCACATGTTAAGTCAAACAAAGAATGTATTTCCAAAGCAGCATTTGCAAAGGTTAATCCCAGTATAGACTGCAAAGGGGAAAGTGCAGTGTCCAATAATCGATCCAAGACCTGCTTCAAGAGTTTCCCCCCCTAGTTAATAAAACACCGGAAGAGATTCTTTTTTAAACTTAAATTTGCTGAAATGGGGATTTACTGATGTATGAAAACTCATTCCCCAAATTTGAGAATCTTCAGTAAATCGATTTGATATTTGAGAATAAAGATCTCTTGCTTCTGCCTGCATCTTCTGCACAAAAGATGGATACCTGGCTATTTGGCAATCTGCGGGGTTGGGGGTGGGGGCTGGTATTTACATAATCCTCAAACCAAAGGTAGCCTTACCGCTCAGGAATCCTCTGAACACTCAAGGCCATTGTGGCCTAGGCAGTTAAGTGGCTTTCCCAGGAACCCAGGTATCCTATCTCACCTGCGTTCCCCGCCCCCCACTCCAGACCTAACCCTCTTTTTCTCCTACACCAAGCTCAAGCACCACCAGCTAGAGTGAAGGTCAAAGCTAACAAACTGCTACGTGGTCCGCCAGCTCTGAGGGTTCTCTCCTAGCTCAGGGAGTTGTTAAATGTTGTTCATGAAAGGGCATTTCTGAACATTTTATTCCAAGGACACAGTCAAGCCAAAAGATGATTTGGGTGGGTAAAGGTGAGGGAAAGAACACGTACAGCATAAAAAGCGCAGTTTCTTGGAGACTTGTCAGGAACTGGAGTGGGGAAAGCGGGGGTGTAATTAAAAGTAAAATCTAGACGGGAAAAGGCGGCTGTACAGCACACAAGCCATGGAGGAGAAAAGTGGGCTCAACTGTTCTAAGCGGCTTCAAAATGAATCCTGGCGGAGCCCTGCAGGGAGGCTCAGGCCACGGGTGGATACTCAGTGGCTCCAGGAGGTGCAGAGGGCGGGGGAAGCGCCACGCTGGAGCCGTAGAGCCAGCACTCCCCGCCGCTCTGCTTGCACTTCTTGATGGCCCACGTACTCCCGGGTTCTCCCCAGATCTTCCCCTCACCCTCTCCCAGCTCTCCGACTCCTCCCCCGCCGCCTCAGCTCTCCCACCTAGCCCGCTAGGCGTCCCCGGTCCCGCTCCGCGCTCTGCGAGCTCCCTGCGCGCAGCCCCTAGCGGTGGGTCTTGCGAGGGCGGCCTCTGCGCGCCTCCCTCCCTTCTCCCTCTCTCACTCCCTCCTCTCCGTGCTCCCCAGCCCTGCGCGATCCAGCTTGGGGAGGCGGGGAAGCTGCCCGAGCGCGACCGCAGCTGCAATCACCCTGCAAGCCGCCAGCCGGAGGCACGGTCCCTAGGCCCTAGAGCCCGGGAAGGCCCCCGGGGACTCGGCACTGCTGGCGAGAGCTGCGAGGCCCGCCCCTGCCAGGCGCGGAGGGCGCGGAGGTGAGTCTTTCGGGGAGAGCGCTAGACGCGGCGGCGGCTGCAGAGTTGGGGGTCAAGATGCGGTCGGTGCCAAGCGCTGCATGCCTCTTTCCCAGAATTCTGCGGCGTCCGCTCTGAGCTTCTGGGGTTCCTGATCGCCTGGTACCTTGAGGCAGGGAGTGGAGAGGGAGTCTGTTCCACGGATTCCATCCCCTACTTCCCCGAGCTCCCAGAAAGTCCTGGGGTTGGTTGGGCCCAAGAGAAAGGAGGCCAGGAGAGACACTGTCCCAGGTAGGATGTGGCCCAAGGGAACGAAGGGAAAGGACGGACAGGTTACCTTAGCCTGCCTGATACTCTTCTAGCCACTTTAGGTTCATGCAGCGTATTTCACTGAAGATCGGCAGCGCTGCTTTGCGAACGTGTATATCTTTCTAGTAGTCATTTTGTTTATTACCCAATGATGTGGCCGTGGTGTGTTTAGGCGATTATGTGTTAGAAAGTAATTGGCCTCTTCTTTGAGTGACCTAAATTATCTAAGCCCTGTATTCATCCACAGCCAAAACTTGTTGAAAATTATGGCCTAAAAATCTCGCTCTTAAAATAGAGCAGAGAGATAAAGAGAATTTTTGTCGAGAGATTTCCAATTATTATCTTCCTTACTGCCTTGGAGAAGGATTGGTGTCAGTTTTTGCTCCTCAGGCAGTGCATTTTTTAGATAGAAAAACTTATTCCAGGTCATGGTTAATTATCACTCATCACCTTGAAACTGGGAGAAGTAGAATTTCAACTCCTGCCCCACCCCCACTCTCTTGACTTTGATTGGATTCTAGTCCTGCTAACAACCCCCGCGCTGGGAACCTTTTTAGTTCTCTGCAAACCACATCCCCGCCACACCCACACACTTTTTTCACCTATATTATATCTTCGTCGTGTTGATCTCCATTTATTTATTTTTTCTTTCTCTAAGTCTCTATTGTTTTTTAGTAGCTGTCTCTGTTTCTCTTCAGAAGAAAAATACCCATCCTAGAGATTTTGCAGGATATTTAGAAACATAATTTGAAAGGCTACAGTTTGTCTTAGCTAGTCAGACTGGGGGTGGGGATGTGTGAGGGGGTAGGGGATGGAGAGGTGTTGAGGGAGTGAGACAATATCAGTAATGATGAATTGAGCAAATTGTTCAGAAAGGAAATGAAAGGCTATATATCCAGGTCACTTTTTACTATCTAGTGACATGGAAAACAGACTTATAGTGAGTGAGCATAATTATATTTTAGTACTGCAGTTTCAGTGAAGAACACATTCAGGGCATCGGGGAGATGCATTTATTCTGTGTTCAGTCAGTAACCATGACATTGACTTAACTATGACATTGATATATCACCCCCTTTGGGCCTGTGGGCTTGCTGCCTTCATCAGCAAAATGAGGGGTCTTATCTGAGACCTATTACATCTCTTTTGTCCATGACATTTTTGGATGCATTTGACAAGGAAGAATATTTACTGCGTTCTTATGTGTTCTTATGTGTCGGAGACTGTGGAGGGAGTGATGGACAAGACAAACATGGTTCTACCCTCAGGGAGCTGATTTTCCGGCCAGGAAAATAGTAATGAGTAAAGAATAATTCCATAAGAAAGGAAACTTAACAGGGGCTCAAAACAAAACAAAATTGGAGTGAATCATTTTACTGAAGAGATATGATAGCCTGATAGGATGGGAAAGTGATTGGTCCTTTCTACTTCAAGACAAGGGTTCTGAGACTGGAACATAGGGAGGAACAGTCATACAGGATGATACTGAAGAGTTATACTGGGCTAGCTAGTCCATTCAGAGCCTTCAGGTCAGGTTCATTTAGGTCAGAAAGGTGTGTGAGTGAGGGCTGAGTTGTGTCCAACTCTTTGTGGCCCCATGGACTATAGCCTGTCAGGCTCCTCTGTCCATGGAATTTTCCAGGCAAGAATAGTCGAGTGGATTGCCATTTTCTTCTCCAGGGGATCTTCCTGACCCAGGGATTGAACCCATGTCTGCTGAATTGGCAGGCAGATTCTTTACCACTACCACCGCCACCTGGGAAACCTGTAGGTCAGGAAGGTGACTGTAGTTCAAAATGCAACACGAGGCCATTGATTTTTAAGGAGGTGAAAGATATCATCTGATCTACATTTTAAGACAATCTTAGCTGCTACCTGGAGAATGGTTTGGAAAGAAGCGAAGAAATAAGAGAGACCCATTAGAAAATGTCTGCAGAGTTCAGGTGAAAGATGAGAGAGACTTGGATTAAGCTGGTGTCATTGGAGAGAGATTTTTAAGAAATACTTTGGAAAACAGAAGTTGGTGTTGGGTTTTACGTTAGGGGTGAGGGAAAGCAAGGACCTGAAGTTCACTTCTAGGTTTCTGGCTTGACCAAATGATGGGTTGTGTGTGCTTAGTTGCTCGGTGTTGTCTGACTCTTTGCAACCCCATGGACTGTAACCTGCCAGGCTCCTCTGCCCATGGGGTTTTCCAGGCAAGGATACTAGAGTGGGTAGCCATTCCCTCTCTAGGGGATTTTCCTGACCCAGGGATCGAACCCACGTATCCTGCTTTGCAGGAGGATTCTTTACCACCTCAGCTACCAGGGAACCCCAAATGGTGGGTAATGATATCATTTACTGAGAGGAGAAAATTTGGATGAATGTGAATAGATCTGAGTATGAAAAGCTGTTTTATTTTGAACCTGTTGAGATGTCTCTGAGGAGATCATAACAAAAGCTGCTTGGAAGGAGAAAAGGGATGGTGTCCAGGTCAGAAATGGACAGACTGTCCTTTGATAGGTGAGATTGATAATGGTGAATTTAAGGTGAGCTGAGTTTTCAGATTTTTCTTTAGTAGCTTTCACCAACTTGAGTACAGATAACAGTAAAAATGGATAGCTGGGTTCTTCCACAACTAGAGATTTGCCAAGTGGATGTGATGGAAAGGAACTATAACGGAATACCACTGCCTGGGTAGCTTAAACCACAGACATTTATTTCTCACAGTTCTGGAGGCTGGCAAGTCCCAGATCAAGACACCGGAAGATTCAGTCTGGTAGGGGCCCACTTCCTGGTTCATAGACTTCTCTCTGTGACCTCATATGGCAGATGGGAAAAGAGAGCTCTCTGGGCTCTATTTTATCCTGTTGATAAGGGTTCCACCCTTGTGACCTAATCCCCTCCCAAAGGCTGTGCATACTAACACTCTCACATTGGGAGTTAGGATTTCAACATATAAATAGTTTGGGTAGGGTACTAAACATTTAGTGTGTAATAAGAGTCCATCTTTTTAAGTGAGTAATGATAAATACACACTGTGAAATCTAGGATGGATAAAGAAACCAGTAGAGTGAGAATATAGTAAACAGATTAGATTTCTCTTCCTATCTGGAATTATCAGTATGAGTATTTGACTAAATTATTGGAAGGCCAAGAGATAGTGCTTGGAGATATCTGAGGTGAGGTGGAGGCAAAGATTCATTGCCTTAGATGAAGGGAATGAAGCCATGAGATTGAATGGTTCATCCATTTGAATGATGAAGTGATGGACATGACAACTGCTGGGGTAGAGAGGAACACTGTTAGTATTGGGGTCCAAAGTCACTAGTAATAATGAATAAGCCAGAAATCAGTAGATGATAGCAGTGAGCATAGGGAGAGGATGTTTAATTTTGCCATGAGCTTCAAAGGAGCTTGGGGTTTGCAGGACAGAAGAAGAAGGGCTCAGTGTAGCCTGCAAAGTAAAAAATATACCACCCTCATTGCCTGGTCCCAGAGGATTACCTTTTCTTGGTAACACATCCAAATTAGCAGGCTTTGAAAGTCATCAAGATCTCTGAGAACAACAGTCCTCTCAGAGTTATTATCATCCAACAATTAATGTTCTAGATGTTTGTGAAACAAATGTGGTTCTGTTTTATAAAATTAATATAGCATAACAGCTGCCATTCAGCCAGAGGAATATCAAGGAAACTCCACTAAATTGAAAATCTTAGGAGGTGATGTATCTGAGTGTAATAGAATTCTCTTAGCTTGATAATATACTTCAGATGGAAGCAGTGACAAATTTCTTCTTCTTGGGCTCTAAAATCTCTGGATGGTGACCACAGCCAGAAATTAGAAGACAATTGCTTCTTGGAAGGAAAGCTATGACAAACCTAGACAGTGTATTGAAAAGCAAAGACATCACCTTGCCAACAAAAGTCTGTATAGTCAAGGCTGTGGTTTTTCCAGTAATCATGTATCTATGTGAGAGTTGGACCATAAAGAAGGCTGAGCACCGAGAATTGATGCTCTTGAACTGTGGTGCTAGAGAATACTCTTGAGAGTCCCTTGGATAGTAAGGAGATCAAACCAGTCAGTCCTAAAGGAAATCAACCCTGAATACTCATTGGAAGGACTGATGCTGAAGCTCCAATACTTTGGCTACCTGATGTGAACAACTGACTCCCTGGAAAAGAGCCTGATGCTGGGAAAGACTGAAGGCAGAAGGAGAAGAGGACGACAGAGGATGAGATGGTTGGGTGGCATCACCGATTCAGTGGACATGAACTTGGCCAACCTCCAGGAGGTGATGAGGGAAAGGGAAGCCTGTTGTGCTGCAGTCCATGGGGTCGCAAAGAGTCAGACATTACTTGGCAACTAAACAACAACAACATACTTCAGGGATTAAATGCATACATCAAGTCAAAGGTCCACTCAGGAAAACTGTGACCTTGAAATTTCAAGGAACCTATGTACTACTTAAATCATACTGTTAAATAAAGCTCACAAATTTGAAGTGTCATAGTGTTAAATATAAGCTAGCAATTCCCATTATTATATAGCTATTAGTCTTAGAAACAAAAGAATTTTAGGTTAGAAAGGACTGTAGAGTCAAGTACAACTTTTTTGTTTTAACAAAGGAAACTGAAATTCATAATAACAAGATGATTTCAGAAGCCTAGGCCTATTCTTTCTCCTTGACACCACATAAACAAAACTTCCTATAAATGCCATAGTCTTCTCATTTAT